GACAGGTCAAGACGAGGATGCAAGATTATGTGCACCAGTTACTGGGTGATAGAAGCTACCTCAAAGAGGATAATTTGGTGTCTACACTCTAGTTATACCTGGTGGACTAACCTGCTGTACTATAAGAGAAGGAACCTCATCAATGTATGTAGCTATTACTGTAATTTGATTGGCTGCATATATATATTAATTTAATAACCCCCCCTAATGTGTAGAGGATCGATTTGTGAGATTATGAGATTATTGCAGAAATACAGTCCACTTATCATTATACAAATTGCTATCGAAGTATACAAATTAACGTAAATATAAATTCATATAAATTAAATAAATATAAATCTCACAGGTCGGTTCCCACAAAATCAGTAATAAGATCAGATCCTCCTCTAAGTAAATCATAAATCTGGATTACATCACCTGAGAGACGGGATTAGTGGGAAGGCGAGGATAATGGGGATTTAGAAAGGATTACTAAGCAGTTTAAAGAGTAACATAAAACCCCAATAGGCTGTTTGTAGAAAGGTTTTGATGGTATAATCTAGTGTGCTGATTGGAAAAGAAGTAATTGTCTAACTATATATGTACATAAATTATTTCACGAAATTATATAATTTGATCAAATGTTCTACATGTATTTTTAGTATCGCTTAAAGAAACATGTTTTTCTTCGTGTTAGTGAGAGCGTCTGTCATAATTTTAAAGTGATTGTTTCGAGTGAGGTTACACTATGGAAAATTAAAATGATTCTACTGATTCAAAATAATGTCCTTTGTTAGTGCGTTAGAGAAGTCCTAAATGGTACAAAAAACTGTTCCCCTCCAACATCATACGCCTCTGCTTTCGAAACTAAATTTATATTTTATGTAGAACAGCGACAAAAGCATCGATAAAGGCTAAGCACATACCTTTACTACTGTTTATTGCTTCAAATATGTTTAAGAAAAATGAGAGTAAATTAGTAAAGCATAATCGCTTTTGGGTAAAGCCATGTTTTGAATATTTTTATAAGTTACCATTTTATAAGATCGGTGCTCACGCGATTTGCCATAATTGTTTCAAATAATATTTCCTCAACTAACAATAAAGTGGTTTTGCCATTTGGTCGCCAGGTGGTGAGGGCGTCACTGCCCTCCCAGTGTTGTTGCCTGCCTGGCTGCGTGCTGACGTGGCAGTTTTGACATGGGGGGGGGGCCTTACAATTCCTCCTGTTCTGCGGGTGAATTCCGTGGGACTAGAGTTCTCGTGTAAGGCTGGTTAACCAGCCATTGAGTTGATGTGCGACATGCTTCGTGTCCCGGTGGAGGCTGTCTATGGAGTTGAGCTTGTTATGGCCCACCGGGTGATTATCAAGTTCGTGCGGGAGGAGGAGTATCGGGACTTCCTCCGTCGGTACGAAGGGCGTTCGTTGCAGTTGCCGGATGGCGCCGGCTCTGTTGCGGTCTCGGACCGAAGTGGTGCCCTGACTTATGTCAGTGTACACGAAGCGCCCCTGGAGTTCCCTGAAGACCTTCTCCGGCGCTTCTTCAGGAGGTATGGTGCTGTCATCAGTGTGCGGGTGAACACGCTTTCCTCGGGGAAGTATGCTGGGAAGCAGACGAACATCCGTACCTTAGGTATGCACCTGCGGTCGGATATCCCATCTTCTGTCCGGCTGCTGGGTTACTACGCCCGGCAGCCCCGTACCTGTTTCCGGTGTGGCCAGTTAGGGCATTAGGCTGCCGGGTGCTCTGAGGCCCCTGCTGCACCTGTTAACTTGTTTCGGGAAGAGGATTTCCCGCCGCTCCCTCAGGGCGTGGATTCCGGAGATGAAGAGGGGCAGGTCCCATTCGCTGCTGATGCGGCCCCCCCCCCCTGCATCACCCGACGTGCCCCCGGTGGTTGTTGTCCCTCCGCCGGGTTTTCCGGTGGCTCCCGTCGCTGGTCACTTTGATGCGCCAGTTGCTCCCGAGGGTCTTCCGGATGGTCTCTGCGGGTCGTCTTCGTCTTCCTCGTCTCCTGCTTCTGCGCCTGGTCCTGCACCCTCGCCAGGTGTTACGGCTGTGCTGGGTGTTGGGGGGCGGGGCTGCGGAGCGTCCTGTTGTGTGCGGCCCGGTTCCCCATGTGGTTGAGGCCGCTGCCGTACTGCGACGGGCGTCGGTTCGCCCGGTTTGTGAGGCCCGTGGTTCTGGGTCCGCCTCAGGCTGTGAGGATGTGCGGCCAGTGCCCAAGCGTTCCAGGCGTTCTTCTACTGCTTGGGCTGATGTGGAGGACTACGACGCAGGTGGAGCTTCGGGCGATGATGTGGCGGTTACGGGTGCTTCGCGCTCTACATCGCTGGTGGTGGCTGACGTCCATGTGTCTGCTGTTGACGATGGTTGTGCGTTTGATTTACCTCCTGTCCTTTCTCCTGCAGAAGGTTCTCCGCAGTGGGAGGTGGTTGCTCCTACAGACGTGGGTGGTGTGGGTTCTGGTGCGAGCCGAGGCATCAAGCTGGTGCTGAAGAAGGATGCCAAGCGTGGGGGGTCCCAGCAGGTACAACGTTCGGTGGTTGACGCGGGGCCCTGTGAGGCAGCCGAGGAGGCTCTCAGTGCGCTGCCCATTGCCCGGCCTCGTGGGAAGGAGCCTCTCCCTCTCGTCTTGGTCTCCGGAGTGGCGCATGAGGATAAGAATCCTTTGCGGTTTGAAATTGTTGACCGCGTGCGTCCTGTTCCGTGGTGCCCTTCTTCCACCTGGGTTCGGCGGGCTCGGTGTTTTATTGTGGGTGTGCCGGAGTTAATGCCTGATCCTCGTACGGTTCGTAATGAACCTGTTCCGGAGGACGTCATGTTACTTTGGGAGGCGTATTGTGTTCGATTCCCGGCCGCGGAGTGGCCGGATAAATATGAGAAATTTGAGTAGTCTGTGTGCTTGCTGTGTGTTTGGTGTGTGCTTGGACCTGTGGTTTGTTTGCAATGTGTTGTACCTATTGTGCGCCCTTCAGGCTGGTGTTATGTTTGTTCTCATGACCGTTGTTTTGTTGTATTTCTTATATTTCAGGTATTTTCTTTTTCTTGTTTCATTGTTTCTGTTCATTGTTGTTTTTGTTGTCGGCCCTTCAGACCGGTATTTAGTGTCTTTGTATAAATTTGTATTGATTTGTTTTATGCTGCAGTGTCTTGTTATGTTTCTTTGTTCTTTGTTGTTTTATTCTCGGTCCTTCAGGGCAGTGCATGTATGTTGTTGCGTTTGTGCCTGTTTTGTTTTCAGGTGTGCGTGTTTTGCTTGTTTATTATTATTGTTTATTTTGGCCTCGCCCTTTGTTTACGGGGCGGATGGCTTGGTATGTGTGTTTTTTTTTTCATTCCTGTATTGTTTCTGTGCTGTACGTTTGACCTGGTGTTTTTATATTGCTTTACCTGTTGTACGTGTTTGTTCTTTGTTTTGTTTGGACTGTATTGTGTTTGTCCTGTTCTGTTTCCTGTTATGCCTCTTGATGTATGTTTTGTTTTTCTGAAGGTTTTGTTTTGTGAAGTTACTGTGATTGCTAGTTTGCCATTGTATTATGTTTTGTGCCTTGATGTATGCTGTATTTTTCTATGCATTTCTCGTGTTTGTGTTTTGTTGTGCTATGCTGTCGTCCCTTCTAGCCGGTGGTCTATTGTTTTATTTTGTTCTGTTATGTATTCTGTATTGTTTTTATTGTATTTAAATTGCATGCTTTGCATGTAAAAAAAAAAAAAAAAAAAAAAAAATATATAAAGTAAACAATTGTTTGATCGAAACTAATCTATATATTCCCATTATAACCTACTGTTGGAGATTTATCCAAATCAAAGGTTTTCGAATGATTTAAGGCAAATACATAGGTAAAAATGCCGTAAGGTAACGGTTCTTGTAACTGGGAAAGTATTTTATCAAGCATTTCCGCATCCATTTACGAAACCTGTACATCTTTCTTAAATCATAGCGGCTTTGTTTTCATTTATGAAATAGTTTACGAGCTTGGAAAATTCACAACCCGAGGTTAACTGTTTAATAAATGTAAACAAAGCCGCCATGAGTGAGAAAAGATGTACGGGTTTCGTAAATGGAAGCGTAAATGCTTGATGAATCCTTTCAATGTAGGATTACACGAAGCACGGAACACACGCCTCACTGTAGAATAGAACGCGTGCATCGCTGTAGCACGGAACACGTGCCTCCCTGTAGCACGGAACACGTACATTACAGAACACGCGCCTTCCTGTAGCACGGAACACGCGCCTCCCTGTAGCACGTAACAGGCGCATCCTTGTAGCACGGAACACGTACATTACGGAACACGCGCCTTCCTGTAGCACGGAACACGCGCCTCCCTGTAGCACGTAACAGGCGCATCCTTGTAGCACAGAACACGTACATTACGGAACACGCGCCTTCCTGTAGCACATAATACGCCCCTCCCTGTAACACAGAACACGCGCCTCCCCCATAGCAAGGAACACGCTCTTCCCTGTAGCACGGAACACGTACATTACGGAACACGCGCCTCCCTGTAGCAACATAGTCCAACATACTACACTTTTCCAGCCCCTCACCAAAACAAAGGGCCGTCGGGTTCGCAACGAGTAAGCCTAATACTGATATTACCACCTTTTTCATACGTCATTATTTGACCTATTGCTCACCATGCCTTCTTCAACCCCGTGATGCGAAAGTAGCCTAGTACGCTTTCAGCCTCTCGGTGGGCACAGTATCCTAGTGATAGGATACTGGTGCCTAGTGATACTGGTTCAAAGGTGATTCAACGTTAATTGAACGCTGAATCAACGTTATAAACGTTAATTCGACGTCGATGGTGAGCCCACTGGGCTCTTAAGTGCAAACACTTCTTACATCACGGTAAGTAAAAACACTTTACCTAATCTTGTACAGAACAACTATGCATAGACTCAAAATAAATCAAAATGCTGATTTATATTCTAGATTTTTTTGTTTGTAAATAATGTACCGTCTAAAAGATTAATTCATACGGTTGTTTGTTGCGGAAGTAAGATACTGACTTGCGTATGGGTGAGTTGGAGAGTTTTCTTACGGGGTAAACCGGGAGAGGAGAGTGGATACCTTATCGACACCCGTGACTCGAGGCGATTGTTATGGGCCAGAGCGAACACAATGGCTAGAAGCCAGACTGTATGTCCCACTTAGCACGACAAAATTAACTTCTGGCACTTGCTTTCAACTGTACCGTGTCGGGTGTAAACAGGAGCTGAGTTAATGGGCTTCGCAAGGGAATGAAGAATAATGTATTTATTTTTATTTATACCGAAATTTTTACATTGTCGTCAGGCCACTAGAACGCATAGCGTTTCAGGCAGGTCCTTATTTTTAATTTTCCCTGGAATACGACCCGTCAAATCGTTTAACAACCAGGTACCCATTCACTGCTGGGTGAACAGAGGCGTACAGTTAATGATTGTCAGGTAACGCCTCCATGCTGATTGCTCCAGGTACCAGTTTAATCATGATTTTCGTGTAGTAGAAAATTTTTTGAGATTTTGAACGTTGAATAATATCGGTACAGAAATGACAGCACTGTTGGTGTTTTAGTTTCAGCTACTCGGAACAAAAAGTTCCAAGTAACACGGGCTATGGTGAGCCCGTAGTGGACTTACCTGGCACAGGGTCTATAATTTGATGACAGCACTAAACTCCTCTGACTATAAAACTGATCACGTTAGGGTCGTTCACCTCACCCAACATCACAGAGTAACCGGGTGGACTTGGAGACAGTGACAATGTTTACCCATGTATTTTCAGACTTGGCCATCGGAGGAGGATAAATCTTGGACGGTTAGCAGTCACGGAAGCACAACGGACCAGAGGATTAAGCGCACTATAACTCGCAGCACAATTTAGGTGATAGCAAGCAAGGTTTTGACAACTGCCTGCGGTCTGGGAGAGTGAAGAAGTTTATTGTGGTGAACCCGAAACAACAGGCTAGATGAACATGCCTCATGCACCGCCATGCTCTTGGTAAACATGTACACTTGGTAAACATATGCTCTTAGTAAACACATGCTAATAGTAAACATGTGCTCTTGGTAAACATGTTCTCTTGGTAAACATGGGTTCTTGGTAAACATGTGCTCTTGGTAAACATATGCTCTTGGTAAACATATGCTCTTGGTAAACATGGGTTCTTGGTAAACATATGCTCTTGGTAAACATGGGTTCTTGGTAAACATATGCTCTTGGTAAACATATGCTCTTGGTAAGCTTATGTAAGCATATCCAAGTGCACATGTTTTAAGTGCATATATTTTCCAGAATCATATATATGCTTAAATGTTCCAGCTGAAGCGTGGGATATGTTGGAAGTTCCATCCGGAACTAAAAATTAAGATACTGGAACACAAAGGTATAGCCTTTAGAAATGCCTTACCATTATCTAAGCCAGCATTTGCAGAGATTAAGAAACATTGTTATGAACCGAACAATCGTCCCATAACCATGTACACAAGATTTTAAAAATATGCCTCTGCATCAGGCTGACTTTAAAAATCTTGTGTTCATGCATAAATGGCCAGAATGACTTGCGAATAATGTAATTTTTATATATATATCAGAAAGCTGTGACCTCTGTTGAATAATTGTTTCAGTCGTACAGTTGAATACTATGTAAACATTATTTAGTGTTTAGCTTTACTTTTACTTTATTTTTTAACATTATTTTTGAGTTGCTTTGATTTGAGTTTTTGGTGATTATTTTGAGTGACTTCTAGTTTTATAATTATTTATGCTTTATTAAGCATAAATAAAGTAAAATATTCTGAATATAACTCTTGGTGTTTATTATTAGGAAATATTTGTGCTTTTTATAATGTGGATAATTTGCAATCTACTATTTGTTTATATTCTATTGTGCTTGTAAAGGTTTTCTGAATTATTTAATTTACAACTTATTTTGAACTAGTATTTGCTGTTATTCGTTCACTCCGGGCTCACCATAGCCCGTGCTAATTGGAACTTTTGTTCCAAGTAGCTGAATCTATTACAACAACAAGATTATATTTTACTAATGGTACTTTGTGAAAGTCAAGAGTTCGCGTTTTTTCTTCCATATTTATTGTCATTACTATTGTCTTGTCTTATAGTAAAGCACCAAGTTCAGTATCAGTTTTTTGGTTTGCGGATCAATATTAATAAATGACTTTACTGTGCTTCATATCTATTGGTAAATACAACGATTCAAAGCTACCTGCCTCCGATCAACTACTAAATTATTTAACTTCTTAACAAAAAGCCAAGTATGCTCGAGAAACTATCAGAGACGCATGATGCGTCTCATGATACAATCTGTTGTTTGTATAACAAATATGTTATACAGACAGCAATATATACACCATGTTTGTATAACATGTTCGGTGGTGCATGTTTTGTTGTGCCACCAAGTCACTAGTAACCTCAGGAATTAGGTGCTACATATGAACTCACCGGATATAACCTAGTTCGCGGAGGAGGGTAGAAATAGCCTAAGCTACTACTCTATCCCTTTGAAATGTATTTTATTGTCTTAATAAACGTACTTGAACCCAGTTCGCCATCCAGCTCGAATAAAAAAAGCACCGGGTATAAAAGTGCAAACAATAGCTCATCTGAAAACCATAAAATAAGAGCAAATTAGGAAAACAATAAGGAAATACTATGATTGCAATCAGCTATTATTAGCGAGAACTCAGTTCCCCTAGAAGCACTGCCACAGCATGATCGCTACAAGACACACACACCCTCACAATACTCAAGGAACAATAGTCACAAGGAAAATGCTCCTAGAGCAGAACTCTCAACTCTCCAAGAGTTTGAATCTGAGCCGCCATGTTTCACCCACTTGGATCAGTCTGTGATATATTTATTTATATATTTTGTTTAGTTTCCTATTGACGGGCACACGAAGCCAGTTAAACTTATCTAAATTCGCGCAGCCCGAGAGTTACACTGCATGAACAGTCACTCATCCAATTATGAGTGGTAACTGGATGAGTGACTGTGCATACGATTGAATGCATTTAATCATATTCACCCCACGCCACTGGCAGACGGAAACAACACAATTACACAAAAGAATCTACAATCTGGAGTAGTCAACAATAGACAAAAATATTTTTGCGAAATAAAAAAAAGAGTTTTTGCAATAGGCTCAAATAACCACGGTCCCACAATGGAAGGTGGCGGGTAAAGAAACTTGAAAGAATAGGTCATTTCTCCCAGGCGCTGCCTGAAATGGAGGGGAAAGAACATCTCAAGAATTATTAGATAAGAAAGATGAAGTGGAGGCAATAATCTCGAGTTTTTGGTTGAATGGAAGAATGAGGACTCGAAATGGAGTGAATGAACTGCAATTGGTGTCAAGAGAAGTGTAAGATGGAGAGAGAGAGAGAGCGAGAGGCTGAAGAATCCCGGGAGCAGGCAGGCGAACAGGCGCTGGTGGAGGGGAAGGTATAGGGTCTAAGACCAGGGCAAATGCTCACAACCCTACGTCATCGCTTTTCTAAGTAAACCCAACCTAACCCGAGGCAGCCCAACCTTGGAGTGGTAGGGTGGAGCAGTGGCTTGAGAGGCACCTGATAAGCCGAAGTCGGAGGATCACTGGCTCACATTTCCCGTGGCACAGTAGTGGCACTCTGGCCAAAACCTAGCCAATCATTTCGAACGAGTACGAATCCACCCCACCCCCCAACTCCTCCGTGGGAGGAAGGGTCGAATGGGCACCGATCTTTAACTGTTTGACCCTATTCATCCAGCAACAAGTGGGGGACCTGGTTGTAAACCGTGAGGTGGATTGTGTTCCAGAGAAAATCAACAGGGAATGGACTGGTGCATCTCATGAATCAGATGAGCGGTGGGAAGTGAAAACTCTGTCTGTCAAAAACGCTAATCATATGGCGGGAACCACATTTAAATTGACCGCCGGCGGGAGTATTTTCCGCCTCCAGGTCATATCCGGTGGTGATTGGCTGCGCACCCCCCCCCCCCCGGGGTCAGCGCGCCTTCGTCAGAGAGAACAAGACTTCGGGGCCTACATTCTACCTATTGGCAGTACCGCGGGACCTCGCCAGTCTTCCGTTACATCCCTCATCTACCTCCGAAGCCTAGAATAGGTTCTGCCTCTACCTCAGAAGACCGCAGACTCAAGAGGTGAGCCTCTGCACATATTCACCTGGAGGCGCCGCCATTAGTGTGGTAGCCCTCTACACTCATAACATATCTTGTCCTCTAGTCACGTGTGTTTAACAAAAAGACATAAAAATCCCCACATACAATGGGGATGCCTTAGGCAAACCGCCAGCTTCCTGTCCTCGTCGAGGCCACTAGAGAGGTGGTTGCCCTCGGGTAAATTAAGGTAAACATTAAAAAAAAAGTTGTGTGAATCAAGGATACCAGTTTTCTTTAGTGACGGATACAGAGAAAACGTATATATAGCCGTCGAGACAAGCAGTGACTAAACAATTTCTCTATGGGCATGGGTTGAGGTCGAGATGGCTAATAGCAATTGATCCAACAAAGAGCATTGCATTTTAACACGCAGAGAATAACCAGGAAACTATAGTATATACAACTTGTGATAGTTATAGGGGGAAGCAGCGAATACATGACTCAATGGGTCATCCATTTTTATTACACAAGAAGTTATGGGAGGTGCATTCAAACTTTTCTAAGGCGATAGTGGAAGGCTTCAGAGAACATGCATCAGGAGGAGTGGTGGGTTAGGGCAGTGACTGTCTTGAAGCTCCGCCCTCAGTGACTGTCCTGAAGCTCCACCCACAGTGACTGTCCTGAAGCTCCACCCTCAGTGACTGTCCTGAAGCTCTACCCTCAGTGACTGTCCTGAAGCTCTACCCTCAGTGACTGTCCTGAAGCTCTACCCTCAGTGACTGTCCTGAAGCTCTACCCTCAGTGACTGTCCTGAAGCTCTACCCTCAGTGACTGTCCTGAAGCTCTACCCTCAGTGACTGTCCTGAAGCTCCAGCCTCAGTGACTGTCCTGAAGCTCCACCCTCAGTGACTGTCCTGAAGCTCTACCCTCAGTGACTGTCCTGAAGCTCTACCCTCAGTGACTGTCCTGAAGCTCTACCCTCAGTGACTGTCCTGAAGCTCTACCCTCAGTGACTCCTGAAGCTCTACCCTCAGTGACTGTCCTGAAGCTCCACCCTCAGTGACTGTCCTGAAGCTCTACCCTCAGTGACTGTCCTGAAGCTCTACCCTCAGTGACTGTCCTGAAGCTCTACCCTCAGTGACTGTCCTGAAGCTCCACCCACAGTGACTGTCCTGAAGCTCCAGCCTCAGTGACTGTCCTAAAGCTCCAGCCTCAGTGACTGTCCTGAAGCTCCAGCCTCAGTGACTGTCCTGAAGCTCCAGCCTCAGTGACTGTCCTGAAGCTCCAGCCACAGTGACTGTCCTGAAGCTCCACCCTCAGTGACTGTCCTGAAGCTCCACCCTCAGTGACTGTCCTGAAGCTCCACCCTCAGTGACTGTCCTGAAGCTCCAGCCACAGTGACTGTCCTGAAGCTCCACCCTCAGTGACTGTCCTGAAGCTCCACCCTCAGTGACTGTCCTGAAGCTCCACCCTCAGTGACTGTCCTGAAGCTCCACCCTCAGTGACTGTCCTGAAGCTCTACCCTCAGTGACTGTCCTGAAGCTCCAGCCTCAGTGACTGTCCTGAAGCTCCACCCTCAGTGACTGTTCTGAAGCTCCAGCCTCAGTGACTGTCCTGAAGCTCCACCCACAGTGACTGTCCTGAAGCTTCACCCTCAGTGACTGTCCTGAAGCTCCACCCTCAGTGACTGTCCTGAAGCTCTACCCTCAGTGACTGTCCTGAAGCTCCAGCCTCAGTGACTGTCCTGAAGCTCCACCCTCAGTGACTGTCCTGAAGCTCCACCCTCAGTGACTGTCCTGAAGCTCCACCCACAGTGACTGTCCTGAAGCTCCACCCACAGTGACTGTCCTGAAGCTTCACCCTCAGTGACTGTCCTGAAGCTTCACCCTCAGTGACTGTCCTGAAGCTCCAACCTCAGTGACTGTCCTGAAGCTCCAGCCTCAGTGACTGTCCTGAAGCTTCACCCTCAGTGACTGTCCTGAAGCTCCAGCCTCAGTGACTGTCCTGAAGCTCCACCCTCAGTGACTGTCCTGAAGCTCCAGCCTCAATGACTGTCCTGAAGCTTCACCCTCAGTGACTGTCCTGAAGCTTCACCCTCAGTGACTGTCCTGAAGCTCCACCCTCAGTGACTGTCCTGAAGCTCCAGCCTCAGTGACTGTCCTGAAGCTTCACCCTCAGTGACTGTCCTGAAGCTCCAGCCTCAGTGACTGTCCATAAGCTCCAGCCTCAGTGACTGTCTTGAAGCTTCACCCACAGTGACTGTCCTGAAGCTCTACCCTCAGTGACTGTCCTGAAGCTCTACCCTCAGTGACTGTCCTGAAGCTCTACCCTCAGTGACTGTCCTGAAGCTCCAGCCTCAGTGACTGTCCTGAAGCTCCAGCCTCAGTGACTGTCTTGAAGCTTCACCCACAGTGACTGTCCTGAAACTCCACCCACAGTGACTGTCCTGAAGCTCCACCCTCAGTGACAGTCCTGAAGCTCCAGCCTCAGTGACTGTCCTGAAGCTCCAGCCACAGTGACTGTCCTGAAGCTCCAGCCTCAGTGACTGTCCTGAAGCTCCACCCTCAGTGACTGTCCTGAAGCTCCAGCCTCAGTGACTGTCCTGAAGCTCCAGCCTCAGTGACTGTCCTGCAGCTCCAGCCTCAGTGACTGTCCTGAAGCTCCAGCCTCAGTGACTGTCCTGAAGCTCCAGCCTCAGTGACTGTCCTGAAGCTCCGCCCTCAGTGACTGTCCTGAAGCTCCAGCCTCAGTGACTGTCCTGAAGCTCCAGCCTCAGTGACTGTACTGAAGCTACATCTTCACCATCATGTTCATTCCTCAATATCATGTTCCTTCTTCAACGTCACGTTCCTGAGTCACCATTATGCGCCTTCCTCACTATCGCGTTCCATCTTTACAATCATGTTCCTTCGTAATCAGCATCATGTTCCTCTCTCGCAGTCAGTCAGCCCCCGCACCCACACCACATGAATTTGAACGCTCAAGGTGTTCTCAACATCTTAAGAATAAAACCGACCGAGATGAATATTGGGTTTAGCATAGTCTCTTCCGCTCCTTTCCGTATGCAAATTGATGTTGCAGTACCTTCCTCGCAATACAAATGTTCCTGGGATATCAATACCGCCTCGCCTCCACTGCTAAAGATCTCTCACGACCAAGGGGGGTAGAAATAGCCTAAGCTACTCTATCCCTTTGAGATGTATTTATTGCTTATCTCAATAAACATACTTGAACTCACGACCAGGATACACAAAGACCATAAAGATACATGTCTCTTAAGACCAGGATACATAAAGCTTGAGGGGACTGTGATATAGCCAGAACAGCTAACCCGAGAATGAAGACAAAAGCGGGGTTGGAAGAATCCCTTTGAGAGGAAGCAAGACTGATGTTCCCCACAGCCAGTCAGTGAAATATAGACTGATACCCCCTTAGGAACACCCCCCCTGGCTATATAAGAATAAATGGCTGCCTCCCTGCTCTGGTAAATACACTCCTGGTTATATATGAGTGTATCTGAACACAAGTGTGTCGTACACTAAGGTAATATAAGCAAAGGAGAAGAGTTTATCAAGAGGCTTTCGGACGGCTGGTTAGGATATTGTTGGCTGTGGGGCTGTTGGTAGGGCAGTTGTTGGCTGTGGGACTGTTGGTAGTGGCTGTTGTTGGCTGTGGGGCTGATGGTAGGGCTGTTGTTGGCTGTGGGGCTGTTGGTAGGGCTGTTGTTGGCTGTGGGGCTGTTGGTAGGGCTGTTGTTGGCTGTGGGGCTGTTGGTAGGGCTGTTGTTGGCTGTGGGACTGTTGGTAGTGGCTGTTGTTGGCTGTTTGACTGTTGGTAGGGCTGTTGTTGGCTGTGGAACTGTTGGTAGGGCTGTTGTTGGCTGTGGGACTGTTGGTAGGGCTGTTGTTGGCTGTGGGACTGTTGGTAGGGGCTGTTGTTGGCTGTGGGACTGTTGGTAGTGGCTGTTGTTGGCTGTGGGGCTGTTGGTAGGGCTGTTGTTGTCTGTGGGGCTGTTGGTAGGGCTGTTGTTGGCTGTGGGGCTGTTGGTAGTGGCTGTTGTTGGCTGTGGGGCTGTTGGTAGTGGCTGTTGTTGGCTGTGGGACTGTTGGTAGGGCTGTTGTTGGCTGTGGGACTGTTGGTAGGGCTGTTGTTGGCTGTGGGACTGTTGGTAAGGCTGTTGTTGACTGTGGGACTGTTGGTAGGGGCTGTTGTTGGCTGTGGGGCTGTTGGTAGTGGCTGTTGTTGGCTGTGGGGCTGTTGGTAGTGGCTGTTGTTGGCTGTGGGGCTGTTGGTAGGGCTGTTGTTGGCTGTGGGGCTGTTGGTAGGGCTGTTGTTGGCTGTGGGGCTGTTGTTGGCTGTGGGGCTGTTGGTAGTGGCTGTTGTTGGCTGTGGGACTGTTGGTAGTGGCTGTTGTTGGCTGTGGGACTGTTGGTAGGACTGTTGTTGGCTGTGGGACTGTTGGTAGTGGCTGTTGTTGGCTGAAGGTAGCTACTCTGACCCGCAGCCGCCCAGGAAGTAACAAAATTCACATTCTGTCCATTGTAACTGGTTGCAGAGCGCCGCTCCAGCATTGTTTAAAAAAAAGACCTGTAATTAAAACAATGTATACGCATTAAATCTCTTATTCCAACAATTAATTAATAATGCTCTTCATAAAATATTCAGCTTAATTACGCTCGACAAATTCCCTCACAAAAAAAATACTGTTTATTAAACAACGGTCTTTTCCTCCCCTCGGCCGAATACATATATCACTGCCCCTCGGCCGACTGTATAAAATGTCTACCGCTCGGCCGCATAGGTCAAGGACCCTGTGTCACAGAACCAGGGGGCGTGACTATGCAACCTATGCAAGGGAGCCGGTCGGCCGAGCGGACAGCACACTGGACTTGTGATCCTGTGGTCCTGGGTTCAATCCCAGGCGCCGGCGAGAAACAATGGGCAGAGTTTCTTTCACCCTATGCCCCTGTTACCTAGTGTCGGAAAATCCGACACCATTTAATAATCATACAGATAATAGCTGTATTGTATAAACAAGTTACCCATAGAAAACGTTTGTAGTGGAATTACCGTTTATAGAAAACGGGATATCATCACCACATACTATTATAATTCACCAGCTATTCTGCTGGGAATTATTCTTAAATACATTAGTCTTTGGACTTTACCATCATAAAACATCTCATATAAATTAACTTAATTATCAATATTAAAGTAGAGTAAATGTGACCCTTCTATCACTTTCTGAAATCTGGACAATGTAAGCCAGGCGTCAGGGAGGAAGGAGGGCAGCCATTGTTTATACGAGACCAGAGACCAGAGGCTCACACGGGAGCAAATTCGGCTCCTGTTAATTTTACTTGGACGTAGTGTTATGGAAACCAAAGGTGTACCATTATCACACGCTGTCAACAAATTCAAGTTAAGTGTTCTTTCCGAAACCCATGTATCTTTCATTTATGGCCATTAATGTCATTATATAGGGTGGTCCGGTTAGAGCACGTGGTAGCCTCAAACTAAAGGTAATTAAGCCAGGTCTTCATGTTCCATGTACAGTTTTCTCTGAAATACTTGTCATATATAGAACCTGGCTTCACAGCTAGCGCCCTTTTGACAGGTCAAGACGAGGAAGCAAGATTTTGTGCACCAGTTACTGGGTGATGGAAGCTACCTCAAAGAGGATAATTTGGTGTCTACACCCTAGTTATACCTGGTGGACTAACCTGCTGTACTATAAGATAAGGAACCTCTTCAATGTATGTAGTCTATTCCTGTAGTTTGATTGGCTGCATATATACAAATTTAATTAATATAAACCCCCCTAATGTGTAGAGGATCGATTTGTGAGATTATGAGATTATTGCAGAAATACAGTCCACTTATCATTATACAAATTGCTATCGAAGTATATAAATTAACGTAAATATAAATTCATATAAATTAAATAAATATAAATCTCACAGGTCGGTTCCCACACCTAGCAGTAAAATAGGTACCTGGGTGTTAGTCAGCTGTCACGGGCTGCTTCCTGGGGGTGGAGGCCTGGTCGAGGACCGGGCCGCGGGGACACTAAAAGCCCCGAAATCATCTCAAGATAACATCTCAAGATAACCTTTGACCTCGAATGGGAGAATCATCGCTGGGGTCTGAGGAGCAGCCAAGCCCATGGTCCATGACGTCTGGAGGAGTAGTACCCTGTAGGAGGTGTCTACACCTACACCCTGGTGTAGGAGGTACCTACACCTACACCCTGGTGTAGGAGGTACCTACACCTACACCCTGGTGTAGGAGGTACCTACACCTACACCCTGGTGTAGGAGGTACCTACACCTACACCCTGGTGTAGGAGGTCATTCACATACACCCTGGTGTAGGAGGTCATTCACATGCACCCTGGTGTAGGAGGTCATTCACATGCACCCTGGTGTAGGAGGTCATTCACATACACCCTGGTGTAGGAGGTCATTCACATACACCCTGGTGTAGGAGGTACCTACACCTACACCCTGGTGTAGGAGGTACCTACACCTACACCCTGGTGTAGGAGGTGCCTACACCTACACCCTGGTGTAGGAGGTACCTACACCTACACCCTGGTGTAGGAGGTACCTACACCTACACCCTCGTGTAGGAGGTGCCTACACCTACACCCTGGTGTAGGAGGTGCCTACACCTACACCCTGGTGTAGGAGGTGCCTACACCTACACCCTGGTGTAGGAGGTGCCTACACCTACACCCTGGTGTAGGAGGTGCCTACACCTACACCCTGGTGTAGGAGGTACCTACACCTACACCCTGGTGTAGGAGGTACCTACACCTACACCCTGGTGTAGGAGGTACCTACACCTACACCCTGGTGTAGGAGGTACCTACACCTACACCCTGGTGTAGGAGGTACCTACACCTACACCCTGGTGTAGGAGGTACCTACACCTACACCCTGGTGTAGGAGGTACCTACACCTACACCCTGGTGTAGGAGGTACCTACACCTACACCCTGGTGTAGGAGGTACCTACACCTACACCCTGGTGTAGGAGGTACCTACACCTACACCCTGGTGTAGGAGGTGCCTACACCTACACCCTGGTGTAGGAGGTACCTACACCTACACCCAGGTGTAGGAGGTACCTACACCTACACCCTGGTGTAGGAGGTACCTACACCTACACCCTGGTGTAGGAGGTACCTACACCTACACCCTGGTGTAGGAGGTGCCTACACCTACACCCTGGTGTAGGAGGTGCCTGGCAAGACTGCCATAACCCACTACTACTTTGTCATACTTCACCTTAGCCTACCTGAGCCGCTGACTCATGGCCTGGATCACCTCTGGTCCCGCGCTCTCTCTCTCTCTCTCTCTCTCTCTCTCTCTCTCTCTCTCTCTCTCTCTCTCTCTCTCTCTCTCTCTCTCTCTCTCTCTCTCTCTCTCTCTCTCTCTCTCACACTGTACTCACCTAGTTGTGCTTGCGGGATTAAGCTCTGGCTCTTTAGTCCCGCCTCTCAACTTCAGTTGCATATATGCCTGGAGACCGTTCAGGCTTGTTCGCATATATATATATATATATATATATATATATATATATATATATATATATATATATATATATATATATATATATATATATATATATATATATATATATATATATATACACACACACTGTGTATGTATGTAAGTGTGTGTGCAAATTCACCCCATGCACAGCCTCGCCCATACGCAGGGCGAGGCTAGAATCTAAATATCCAATGTCCCACAGCGTATATCAGACGTTAAGATTCAGCACTGGTACTAGTCTAGGGTTGCCATACGTTCGTATTTCCCAGGACATGCCCTAGATTCAGGTGTCAAAATTTGTCTCTAGTTTATAAGTAAGACGCATTATTCTGCCTTTTCTTAGCCTTATGCAACACTTCTCTGTCTATGTAAATTTAACTTAAATCTCATGTCTCTCTCATTACACAAATTGTGTTAAAACCTGGTTTGTGTCTCGGAGGGAGGGAATTGTCAGGGTAAAGCACCAAGCCATTACGACTATATAGCACTTAGTTGTAATGAGAGAGACATTAGATACAATGTCTTGGAGAGACTGCAGGATCCGTGGTAGGTCAAGTTGATTTCTCGGTGGCAATTCTTTTGACCATGTCGTAGCTCAGTCGATTATGGCGCGTCTGGGATCCTCTCGGACGTAGGTTCGAACCCTCGTGGATTTGTTCATGTCTCTCTCATTATCCCTTAATCCATCTCTCCACTTTTTCAGTGTCATACAGTTTCCTTAATCTGCCTTCAGAGCTCAGGGTCTTGACTTCCTTGAACGATACTTGTTGCATATATTTTTTAACTTTTCCCCTGTTTGGTGATTTTTCAATTTTGATGGCAGAGTTTCATACTCGTAAGTGAGTCTCACGTAGGTTGTAATTTAGAAACACAGAGAACTACCCCGTGTGAGATGTAGAACTATTTGATTGACAGAGCCCGAGTGCATGTAGGGGGGGATTGTGTGAAACCCCCGGTTAGGCTTCAGTGGAAGCCTCGGAATCCTCGTAGGGACAGTAACACTCCAAGCTGCAATTCTAACACATGTCATGATACAGTTGACTAGAGCGTGTCTGGGCACACAGCACATAGGTTCGAATCCTCGTCACGGCCCTTGTGAATGTGTTATATAGAACCCGGACGGCCACGTCCACCAAGGTTTGCGTGCGTGAAAGGACCACCAGCCTCACATTGGCGAAATTGAACGACGTTCTCGATCGCCCTCAATCTTATCCAACGTTCGTTCCAACCTATTTTGTTTTAATTTCTTTTCACAACATAACGACAGCGTGCGAGAGAGAGAGGTCGTCCCCCGCGTGCGTCCGTGCGTCTGAACGCTCGGCCGTGACGCAGGCGGGCGTTCAAATACAGGCGACGAAGCAGTAAAGAATAATTTAATTAGATTATGCACTCACATTATGAGCCGTGAGGTTTTATTACGTCACATCACTGGCACGCAGTTCCTTCGCTCACACAAAAATATATTTATAATATTTGTATAAATAAGGTGTCTGTGTTCTACAGTAGAGAGGGGAACACGGCTCTCTTAACCCACAGAGGGGAACACGGCTCTCTTAACCCACAGAGGGGAACACGGCTCTCTTAACCCACAGAGGGGAACACGGCTCTCTTAACCCACAGAGGGGAACACGGCTCTCTTAACCCACAGAGGGGAACACGGCTCTCTTAACCCACAGAGGGGAACACGGCTTTCTTAACCCACAGAGGGGAACACGGCTCTCTTAACCCACAGAGGGGAACACGGCTCTCTTAACCCACAGAGGGGAACACGGCTTTCTTAACCCACAGAGGGGAACACGGCTTTCTTAACCCACAGAGGGGAATACGGCTCTCTTAACCCCCAGAGGAAAACATGGCTCTCTTAACCCACAGAGGATAAAATGGCTCTCTTTAAACCAACAGGGGAAAATGCCTATACTAACCCTCTTCCCATCCCCAGAAATACCCCCTTACATATCAGAAATATTCCGTTACAGCCCAGAAATATCCCAACATTCCAGAAAAAAGCCCCCG